AAATTCTCAAACATTACACGTGTAAAATCATTTCGCCGGCTAGCATTGATTAACAAAACGAAGAAAATTTTCATTTTGTTCACAGACACCCTCAACTCATGCGATTCGTAGATATTTGGGATTAGTTCACTGGAAATCAAAAATGAGTAGATGAGAAAATTCTCGATTTCATCGCTTCTCAATTTTTGAAATTTTTCGGCGATTTCAAATGAATACCATAAAACAACAATAAAATTCCCTGGCCAATCCTGTCAAAACTTGGAATATTGCATATATTGTTTACACTTACATATGTATTATAATACACAAGAACATACAGGTACTGAACGCATTCATCGAAATACTTCCATGTTGTTCAATTGCAGTCTCATTTTTTGTGATAATTTCAACTGATGAGAACGGACATGACTGCTCATGCTCATGTCACTCTCCGTCTTGACCTCAACAAGAAAACTACAATTGATGAATCCAAGCAGCACCCGTATATCATCCACAAGTAAATATATACACAAAACAACTGAATTACAGATCGGAACAGTTCGTATGAAACATGAACGAACTAGTCCGCTCTTTCTACCGGTTTACCTCAACGATCGAGGATCACAATTCGATTATTATCAAACACATGAACCGGTATAAAAAATGATATGAATGCATAATACAAGTCATTATCAAACATCCTAATGAATACAATACAAAATAATAAACTGTACAAATATCTGTTCGCAGTTATGTTCATATGAACAAACGCGTAACTGATAATCAAAAATGAGATATTTGTAGTTCCGTAAAAAACCATAAAATGGTCAATCAAACAGGAAATTGAATTCAACATATTTGAGTGAAATATGGCGATACAAATGTGGCGCCTAAGATGATGACTAACAGCAATTGTGATTAGATGGAAACACGGTTTTAGATGAAACTCAAGATAATGACTAACATAAACGTTAACTTATTCTGATAACAAGAAATTCTTATTAGTGAACTAATCGGGTCATATTAAATGGATGTGCCATGAACGAAGAATCATGATAATGATAACAATAATGTGATAAAGTTTAAAAGAGTTGCATCAATGAGTTAGAAGCAATAAAAACGGTAATTAATACATTAGTACAATAACATTAAAAGCATCAGGAATGATTGGTGACAACAGACAACGAAGTCGAGTAATTCAATCAGCTTCAAATGAGTCGATTGGGCATTGTTGATGAGAGAATCTCTTCGGAGAGTGCGCTCACATGAAGTTTCTCGACCATTTCCTTGTAACGTTGTGCTGTCTTGAAGAGTGTCCACGATACGGATAAAACGTTACCGTACTTAACTGGTCCTTGTTTACCGTACCTTCAAATTCACAATATTCAATGTTTCGATCAAATTACCAGCGGTGTCGAAACTAAGCCCTTTCTTGAATATCTCTTGAATTGAGATATTCTTGTGTGTTTACCTCTTTGAGATCAAACCTCAAAGAGATCAAACATTTCTTTTTGTCAAAGATTTTGGACCGACGCGGAATCGAACTCACGCCCTCTGAACAGATCGGATCCTCAATGCCCAGCGTGCACACCAGTACACTATCGGCCCATTGCACGATGTTTCATATTTGATTCAAGTACTATCTCTTTTAGTACTATCATCATTCTATGCTAGCTTTTCGCGCTAGTCGCGACAAGCGGATTGATTAAAGCTACTCACTGCTAGTTGCAACGAAATGAATGATCGCAGGCCTGCTAATTCTACTTGAGACTCAGCAAACTAATTACTTGAATTTATGTAATTTAAGTACCAGAATCATTTTCAGAGACCATGTATATTATAGGTGAACAGCTTTCATTCAATAAATTTCCATTTTAACACGATTTTCATGATTATCAATACTGATTTCACAAAATTTGCTCGTTCACAGACAAATCATGAAAATTCTCAAGTGAGATTGAAGAAATTGTAAACTAATTCACCCCAATTTTGTAAGCATATAAACTAATCAGACGGTTGTATTTCGAAATATTTACAGACGTTTATATTTAGAAATTTATTTACACTCTCCTCCGCTTTTTTTCATTATTGTTGAAAACGTTCCCTCTGAAGAAGAGAGTTTGATCACCGCAATTAATCAATCAGTACGCCCTCTCACTAATCGTTGATCATTACTATTTGCTGTTTTTCATTAAATGCGATCGGGTGATTAAAGCCTCCGCCACTAGACGTTTATTTCACATAAACGCTTTTCAATGTACACATACGTCATGCACTTTATCAATGTAATCACTAAAGATCATGAACAAATGATGTTTGCTGAGTTGGATATATTGTTTGCAAATAGTACGCGATCGATTCAGTGCATGTGTTGTAAACAGAACATGAAGGTGAATCGAAATAGATGATTAAAGAACTCAGTCAAGCAACATGAAAACAGATCACAAGCATTCGAATTCTGATCGAAATAGATGAAAAAAGCAGGAAATGATCGTATGTTTTTAAGAGCGACTGGTTGTAAAAAACTTACGTGCTCATCATGTAATCAAAAAGTGCATCCAGCACCAATTGACGACTTTCCACCAACTGCTTATAAGTTTTGCTCGATAGACCGAAGCATTCTGCAAAAATGAACAATAAAATGTTTGGAACGTGTTTGCTTTCAGAAGACAGTGATGACTAATTTAGGTATTAAATAACAAAGCTCAATTGATGAATGAGAAAATTTCAATGCCCATGAATCCTGCGTTGCACAATCGAATCGAAAATCTGTATAAGTGCTATTGATCATTAGAGGATGATGCGATATTTCGTCACTTATATGGACATAAAATTTATAGCAAACGTCACTGATTAAGTAGATCAACTGTGTTGGAAGATGTGATCAAATTATGAAATCGTGCACTTGCATTGAATTATGAAATCATCATGCAATGCGACTGTGACGCGACGTGATACTTGGAGATTACTCAAACAATAATCCGATTGAACGAAATTAATCTATCATTGATTTATTCAAGCAGATCGTAAAATGAGAATACATTATAAATGTCGCATTGAAATTCTATCAGATTAGGAAGCAAGCCGGATTATTCATTCGACAGATCACTTTTTATCAACCACTGTTATCATCATGATTAAACGAACAGTGTCGTCATCGGATGTGTGTTTGGTGTGGTGATACTGACGGGAAATAGAGTTGATTCAAACGAAAAATCATTCCCTTCTCAATTCTCTACACGAATCTCCAATTGAACGACTAATCACCAGAATTTCTCATCATCATCGTTATCATGACTACAGACATTGATAGCGCTATCATTGTTGATGTTCTAAAATGACTAAAGATCACGACTGCTGTCATTTTCATTTCTGTTTGTTAGCAGGAATAGATGAAACGAAAGCAGTTATGTTATACCTGCATGTAGAAAGACAATCGCTTTGAGAAGCACGTATTCGGTGCGATCCAACTCCACTCGTATCAACGACTCAGTGGCCAGTTGTAGCAGTGATGTTATACGTTTCACTATCGACGTTGAATCGCTAGAAAGAGTGGTTCAGATGTAATTTCAAATAGATTGGATGGTGATTTCAGTCGATTGATTCTCATCCATTTTACGAGATTAGAACTCTCAAGGTTCAATGTTCAATAAATTTGAATTGCATCCAGTGATCAAAGCTGCTTTCGTCGATTTTTCATCGAAAATAATTGATAAAAACTTTTTTTTTTGGAATTGCTATCCGTAATTGAAATGAATTCATGCTTGGAGACTCGAATGTCAATGTATTCAAGCATAAGTGTTCAGCGCATTATGTTATCCTCATCAGTGCTTTGTTTGATACTCCCCATTTTGTTAAGACTTAAATTTGTTGAACTTTCAAAAGTGAATTTGTCCTCGAGAAGTGGTAAATTCAAAATAAACAAATGTACATTCAACCAACGACCAAATGTAAAGAAATGTGTTCGGATTCATCATTCAATTAATGAAATTTATTTGCTCAACGAAAAGCTAACTCATCAATGAGAAATTTCATTTTGTTTGTGTAAAAGTTGAGTTAGCTCTGAAGAGTTCAGTTTCAATGCATCATGATGAACATTCCAATGCATCATGCGAAATATGTTTCTTTCAAAAACAATTAATTCCGAATACGATTTTGACCATCATATCACAGCACTTCAAAAAATTTTTTAAGTATGAATAACGATGAAAAAACACCAAAATCCACTCATTCGTTAATGAGTTTGTTTGGTTTGGTAATTTGAAATCATAGAATTGGCTTCTTGGAAATGTTTTTGTGAAGAGTCTGATGCATGATTAATCGCATTCGCACTTTCAGACAATTAAAGTTGTGAATAAATCACTATGATAAAATGTCCGTCTACATGAACACCACAAGATGTGAACAGTGCTCTCATTCTGGGAAAAAAAGTCGCTAAAGACTTCATAAATAAACCAATGAACTGTGATTAATGTTTGCTAGCATCCTAGACTTGGCTTCTAAACAAAAGGCACGAGTAGTAAAACTGCAACAACTAAATGATTTCAACCGGTAATGAGTGACTTACTCAGAGTCAGAATTAATGATTGTAATGAGCACTGGAGCACTTGAATCCTTCTTCAGGAATGATTGATAGGCGTTCTCGAATAACAATATTACCAGTGTAACATCTCGCAGTAAGAAACACTGTAAAAGTTGAGATTTTTAAGTTTTCAGTTGAGAGAGTGAGCACGCTGAACAGCGAGCGACTTCAATGAAAATGAATTTCCACGAAAGCTTGACGTAATCGATCAATGCACTAATAGTAAGCCAAATTATGCTTGAAAAATTATAAGCGTATGTGAACGTTTACCGACATATTCACTGATGGATTCTTTTTGAGAGGAGGAAAAACTACATGGATGAAAGCTATCGCGATATTTTTTTCTCGCTTATTAAAAAATTTTAATCCGATTTCCAAGAAAACGTCATGGGTGCTAAGGTTGAAAACGTCAAGGCTGAAAAGTCGACATTTTGTTGCAGTTGTTCAATTACCTTATCTTCGAGAGGCATTTTCATGAAGACGTCAAACGATTTCGCATATTCAACTGTGTAAGCAATATCCAGGTTCAATTGCTCTACTGCACCCAATCCCGAATTTGTGCTCTGTTCAGTTGTCTGAAAGAAAAATGAGAAACTGCAATTACAACGAAACTAAGGCAGGAATTCTCGTTTTGATGGATCAAAAATAACACGATAATTATCATCCNAAAATCGCACTAAAAACAAATCTTTAATCAACGATTAGGGTGCGATTTATTCATAATATCGAATGGCAATCGTAAATATTTTTAAATGAAGCAAAAATCAATCAATCAATCAATCTCAAAAACCAAGTCCATTAAAATCTTTGCATCTCTTAACATCTTTTAAGACAGCAAACAAAAATTTGGTTTCAAATCAAACACCATCGACCACCATAACATGGAGTGGTGATTCAGCGTGAACGTTCAATACCGAGACGAAACGACCACAGAGAATTTATTTGAATATTTCCACATAAGTTGTGTGGAAATATTATTTGAATATTTCCACATAAACATTTGTCACATAAGAGAAAATTTCATTGACTTATTGTATGTTTCTATTTTTCAACATAATAAGACAATTTTGGCAATCGTTCGACAGCAAACGTTCGAATGAAAGAATCGAAATTTTCCAAAAGAAAAGAAGGAATTCGAAGAAATGAGGGGAGGGAAGAGCTAGTCACTAGTACCACAACAGACGAATAATTACAGTCCACTGAAAAGAGAAATTCAGTAACTGACCGTGTAATCGCTAGCGCGATCAATAGCACACGGCCGTGTGAGCAAATCAAGCATTGAGTCAACTGCCGTATAGTTACTACAGCGAAGCTTTGAGAAATTTTCTTGAAGATTCAACAGACGAGTTATCATCTGAAATATCTCCCATTACGTACCGTTAGTCTCTCTTTTACCATTTCGAAATTTCAATTTTCAACGTCTGTCAACTTTCTTTGTCACAGTCACAAAATAATCAAACCTAAATTTCGTCTATGGCCCGCATGATTTGTTTGAAAACAAATAGTTTAAGGGATGTTGAACGCATCTATCTTCTCATCGATATGGTCAACAAGTCAGCCAAGAAAAACTGGAAGGAAATTCTCTAGATGAATGAACGAACCTTATCAGATCGATCACTTTTTGCTCGTTTGTTTGACATTTCCTCACACAGATCCGACGATGCGTCTTTCATTGACTGGTAGTTATTATAAGCAAACTGCGAATACTTTCTGAAAAATAAAACTGAATCGTTGGGTATCATTTCAGTGGATCGAATTCTTGAATGAACCAGATTTTCGACTGACTCACACAATCGAACAACCAAGTAGCAGCCATCCAGCTTGCAATGAACCGAGATGACAGCAATAGCAGCAGCAGCAATATCACAACGATGAAAGATCGTCATTTCATTTCAGAAGGCACCAACGCACTCGCGCTATCATTCAAAAAAAATCAGACTACAACGAAAATTAAAGTCAGTCACATGTCCATGTGAACACGAGATGTTGCCCCAAAAAACAGTGTAATATTCCGAGAAAATTCTATCCGCCTATTTATTCATGTCTCAATCCATCGAACATCATTGATGGGATTCAACAAAAAAAAGTAGAGAGCTTTGAACCATTCAAACGAGCTGGAAATTACTGAGGCGTTCAATGTTCAGCGTTTCAGTAACTGTGTGTCAAGAAACGTGTGTTCTAGATTCACATGATATTGATGCTGTCATGAAACCACTTTTTTGTCAGATTCCACTGAAAAAGAGAGCAACAGAGAATTTAATCGCAGGTTGAGCGGAAAGGAGATGAAAGAAACCGGACGAAATGGATGAAAGTGAGTGGTAACGGACGAGCTGTGGAGGTGCGGGCACAATAATAACTGCTCATGTGTGGCATGGTTTGTTAGGAATTCAAAAATTAGACCACATAAATACCAACTAATGTTATACACCAGTACTTGTAGTCGTTTTTTCTGATTTCGTTTGAGGAGATAATGCATTCGAATGTTCAAAACGCACATGTATTTGTCGTATCTGGGCATCGGAGATCAATCTCCTTAATGTTCATTGCACATTCTTTTTTCATTTTTTTCGACGCTCTCCTCGTTTTGTCGCCGATAGTTATTTCCATCAATTTTTTTCCATTCGCTCATTATTTATTGCCCTTCGCCATTACAATTGATTCATCCCGTAGATCTTTAATGCGTTTCCACTGCACAAGCTGATTCACGATGAGATGATTTGAACGAATCGTACTGCTGCTACAGGATGGTACATCATCATCATCATCATCGCATTTCGAAGAGATCAGACGAGGACTTAAGCAACAGAGAGCGCGAGCATTAAGCACCAAGCACCACTTTTCACATGACCTAATTTGCATTCTCAATATCATTACAATTATGATCGTCAACGCCCACCTTCTGTCTCTCAACATCGTTGAAACATGAATATTTACTGAGAATATCTTCTGAGAATCGCAACGATGATTTTTATTCCATTCGCATTCGTTCACCGCTTCCTCGCCGAATCTTTTTTTGGTGTTGCCCTTTCTGAGTGAAGTTTCGCTAACGATTAAATTTAAGAACGAACAGCGTTCATGCATCACACATACACAGATGTGGTACACATTATACATCGAATACAAATTTA